AAGTCAATTGTTTACTCACCATGACTAGGCATCGCATTGGGCATCGTATGACCATTTTATATGTCACTGTTCTTAGTTGCACCGGGGGCGCATGCCCGTTTTCAGGAGACTTATCAAAACACATAAGCCCTGTGCTCTGAAGGTTAGGCCTATTGTTAGTCTGAATAGTCCTGGCTACTATCTCGCTAAGTTCATTGACTTTCTACTGAACCTGTATGTACGTGAGGAAAGTACTGTTCTGGCCTGAACTACGGATTTCATCAACTTGGTAGAAGGTTTGCCTGTGCGGGACGATCATTTATTTTTGAGTATAGATGTGACCAGCCTTTACACCAACATCCCCAACGAGCTCGGTCCTGTGGCATTGTCGTGGTATATCACACACAGGTATACAAGGTGGATGCCCCCGGCCCTTCGTACACGGTTAACAACAGCAGTGACTTCCTTGATGTCAGTCATACGGAAGACTAACGGGTTCGTGTACGATAACGATTTGTTTCCGCAGATCCAAGGGACTGCCATGGGTTCGCCTGCAGCAGTGGTCTATGCCGACATTGTTATGCTGTATTTGGAGAATCGGTACATTTTGCCGATCTTAGAGGGGGAGGGTTTAGAGGTTCAGGTTTATAGACACTTTATCAGTGACATTTTTGTTTCATTGCATGGTTGCGAAGGTCAAGTTCAGCGCGCTTTAGTGATGTATTCATGTAATGAATTCAGTTTAGCGTAGGCGCACATCTCGCAACTACGTATCTGCTGCGCAACAGCGCCCTCTACGGTTCTGGCCGCGGCACTTGTTTAGCGCGCCTTGTCGCGACCGGCAAGACCGCCTGCTGTGCATCACATTATTAATTTATGCGTACGCCATCACAATAATTAACCCTCTCAGTGCCACGGGCGACTTTAGTCGCCCAGACTGAGTATGTGAGTACAAATAAATTCGTATCTCCACTTCTACACACAGGAGAGTTACAAACGACCACTCTACGTCTTCAGGAAGACCTTGGCTATCGACTCATCACAACGTTTTGTGTCCGTGAGGATAGATATCACCAGGGCGAAGCCTGAAGCTCGCGCGCTCGGACAAACAATTGTCGCGTGTAGAAAACATGACTTATGCGCATCGCGGGTTTCTCTATTTCTTTCGCGGCAACCCATGCGTATTGGGTATCAAAACATCGAGATTTTCAGTGGCTTTCAGGCCAACTTTGTCCGAATTTCGTGCGTTGAAATTTGACTGCACTGCGATCGATCGCGCGCGTGAGAAAGTGCAGATGCTACGAAAGTGCAGAAAACGGACTTCGCTCAGGCGCCCTCGCGAGGAAGACTATTTTCGCTGCATATTCTCTTCACAGCTGTCTGCCTGGCCATGATATCTTTCCAGAGAGCCATCGTTTGTAAAGATCCGTGGATATACAGCTGAGCTATGAAAAATTTGAGTTCAGCTCAACTCGGAAAAATTTGAATTTTTCTGACCCACTTGGCACTGAAAGGGTTAATTCAGTTTTGATCGGGTCCGAGTCCGCAACGTGGCACATCTCCTTGCCATTCTCAGTTTTGAGTCTTCTCTGCTTTGGCTCATGCCCGACTTGCATCCTGCTGCCTTTGTCTTTTGCTGACCGAACTGTCATTGCCTAGTCATGTCGGGCACCAGGAAGAGAACCCGTCGCGCAGCACCTAGCCCTGTTCCCGACCCACCTGTTTCTTCGGCTGCGGACCCCGAGCTGCCGAGTAACGCTGCCTCACCACTCGACGGCGGACAATTCAAGCAATTTATATCTGACGAAGTCCAGAAAGCCATCACCGCCGCCCTGGCAGAAACGGTCTCCCCACTGCTTGCCACCATCGGATCCTCGCAGCCTTCCCCCGCCATGGCTGTACCCACCGGAAATGCTGCGCCAACTGGTCCGGGTGCTGGCTCTCTATCTCATCCACTGAACGTGCCGTCTCACGTGAGAGAGAGGATTTTGCGAGGTGAGTGTGTTGATTTGAATACACTGTTACCGGAAGCTCTTGGGGCACCAAAGCGTGACACGATTCAGTTGAATTTCAGTGGGTCCAGGACTGTTGAGCTGCTGGATCCCAGCTCTGGCGGGCATGTCGAGAAAGTTCGTAGGCATGTTCACGACCTGGTTACATGGCTAGAAGCCTGGTCCAGATATATGTTCGTACTATGCTCGCACGCACCCAGCCGTTTCTCCGAACTGATGGCATATCAGGCCACCATTGTATCGGCCAACTCCTCATACTATCCGGAGGCCTGGCTCGAATATGACCGGGAGTTCCGTCTGGCAATCTCTCTTGACCCCAGTAAGCGTTGGGACGCCATTGACGGCAATCTCTGGCAACTGAAAATGACAGGCCGCTCACGCCCGCAGTGTAGCACATGCCGGATCACTCACCCTCCATCGGGTAGCCAGTGCCCTTTTCGTGCCTCCCGAGTACCAAACCAGCAGTTTGCACCACGGTCTGCCTACACCAAGTCTGGCAAAGAGATCTGCCGGAATTTCCAGCAAGGTCGATGCTCCAACACCGACTGTAAATTTGCCCACGTCTGCTCCCAATGCGAGGGCGCACATGCCCGCCCCTCCTGCCCGCGTCGCTTCTCCACTGGCAACCAGCGGCAGAACAAAGCTTAATGAACTGCATCTCGATAGTAGCATTCTCCGGACACACCCTACATTCTTTCACACTTGCCGCACACCTATTCACGTTAATCGCCTCCGTTCCTTACTGCGTGCACACCCCGATCAAGCTTTTGTTAAATATGTACTTCATGGCCTTACGTATGGTTTTGACATCGGCTTCAATGGCCCACGCCAAAGCAGCATGTTCTCCCCTAACTTACCTTCTGCGAGGATGCATCCCGATTTTATTACCAAATACCTGCAAGAATGTTGCTCCCGCTTTGAACTGCTAGGTCCTTTTTCCTCCTCGCTTTTTTCTTTTTTTCATTGCTCCGGTGTTGGCTGCGTTCCGAAAAAGAACGGCCGCTTCCGTTTAATCCACCACCTCTCTAGCCCAGAGGGTCAAAGTGTTAACGATGGAATTTCACGTGAAGATTTCAGCTTGCATTACATCACTATTGATCACGCGATCGATGCAATTATGCAGTACGGTCGTTCTGCTTATCTTTTCAAACTTGACATTCGGAGTGCTTTCCGCATTGTACCTGTGCGGCAGGAAGACTGGCCTCTGCTAGGTATTCACTGGCAAAACCAATATTATTTCGACACTGTGCTCCCCTTTGGCTTACGCTCCAGCCCTGCCATTTTTAACTCTATTGCCGACTGCCTTGAATGGATTGCTCGCTATGAGTTTTCTATTACTGACCTGCTCCATTATCTAGATGATTTCCTTTGCATTTCTCCATCGGAGCTGGTGGCGAACCAACGTGCTTCAATCCTGCTTCGCTGTTTTAACTATGTCCAAGTCCCCTTGGCACCTGACAAAGTGGAAGGTCCAGCTCAAGTGCTGTCGTTCCTGGGCATCGAGCTGGACTGTGGCAGACTGGAGGCCCGGCTACCAGACACCAAGTTGCAAGATCTCCGCACCTTGCTCGACCAGTATGTCAACCGTGGCGACATGACCCAACGCGAACTCGACTCACTATTGGGAAAACTCTCCTTCGCAGCTCGGGTAATTATACCTGGTCGGACATTCATGCGCCGACTCTGGGATATTTGTCACCGCTACAGTCAGCCACACTATAAGATCAAACTCTCAGTCGAGGCCCTGGAAGACCTGAAGTGGTGGCAACGCCTCCTCTCGCAATGGAACGGAAAGTCCTTCTTTCATATGCCAAATTGGACCCCGTCTCCCGACATCCAATTGTTTACTGATGCCAGCAGTTCGATCGGCTGGGGCGCATGTTATGGCCATCGCTGGATCCAGGGACAGTGGTTGCCGGAACAAGCCGACTACTCCATCGAGTGGAAGGAGATGTTCGCCATTGCCGCAGTTTGCTCCTCCTGGGGCCTTGAATGGCGCAAGCTCCGCATACTCGTGTACTGCGATAACGAAGCCGTAGTGGCACGCCTGTCCAATGGTTGTAGCCGCTCCCCCCAGTCATGGATCTGATACGACGGCTGTTCTTCATGTGCGCTAACTCTGGCTTCATTCTGTCAGCAAAGCATATTCCAGGATGCACTAACAAAGCCGCTGATGCTCTGTCTCGTTTTAACATGCAGGCGTTTCGCGAGGCGGTTCCGGGAGCTCGGGCGACAGCCGACCTGTTCCAGTCATTCTAACTGCCGCGGACGAATTAGCAGCACGATATGCTGCTCATGCTCTATCCGACAACACCAGACGAACGTATTCCGCCGGCGAATCTAAGTATCTCAAGTTCTGCCAACTTCAAAGATGGTCCCCGT